TTCGAAGAAACTGTCTTCTTGGTTGCAGCATTCGTGGCCACGCAGCAGTAACTACCATCGTCTGTATCTTTTACACTCTYTATTGTTATCGTGGACTCCCAAAGTGAGGCGTTTCCTATTGTTTGGAGTTTAATTCTCTTGTCTTCGTTTGGATCTAGGATATGACCATTCTTTTGCCAGGAAACTGTGGGCTTAGGGTTCCCCTCCATGGTACAAGAGAGTTGTACTTGGTCTGATTCATTTTTGGTGATGTTACTTGGTGATGAAAAGATGACCGGGGGATCTGCAATTGTTAATTGAATAAATAAATAAATAGAATAAATCACTTTATTTAAGTGTCTAGTCGTTCTAGCGCTTTCGACACTTTTCGCTCACACGCACAACCACTACATTCAATGTTCTATGCACACAACGCTCAACTCACAAGTTGATTTTTACAGAATGATTATAATTACAAATTTTAATGAATATACATGATATACATGCCAACCGGTAAGGCTATTTAGTTTGATATAATGTTTTGAAATAACAGCATGAAACGACAAAATAATTGGCCGCCATGTTGGTTGATAAACTCCCAAGGAAAATCTTCCGTCAATTTCAACCATCAATCATTCACCAAAAAGCTATCCGATTATGAAATCATTGTCGCAGATAAAAGAAAATTTTTTAAAGGATAAACTTACATCTAATTTCCAAAAATCCCTCTTTGGATAAAGACGAATTGATTTTATTTTTAGTAGAGCATGAAAAATTTCCTTGGTCTTCTCGTCTCAACATGGATATCTGAAGCTTGGCTGTTCCAATGTATTCGTCTTGTKTTGTGTGGCTCACAGTACTTGATATTCTACCAGTTGAATTTGTATCCATTTCTTGGCCATTCTYCAKCCAGGTCACCRAAGGAAATGGCTTTCCTTCAAATTYACAGCTMAGTGTTACTGATTCCTTTTCATTTTTGACTGAATGTGGTGGGGATTGTAGGATTTTTGGCTTGTCTATAAGAATAAATTATAAGTCCTAAGCTAAGTAGATTTAATTAACAAACTAGGCCGTACATTCATTATAAATAAGGGTTCATTTGTTCTTTTAAGTGGATAGAACCAAAGAGTAGATAAGAAGGGAGAGCAGATGAAAGCATAGCCAAGCATAGAAAAACAAAGCAAACCTTTTTTTCGGCCGAGCAAAACTGAGAATGGCAGAAAATACAAAGCAAGCTA